ATCCCTTCGAAACAAAATATTGGAGCACGATCTGCAGTTGATGATAGGTGCTAATCTAATTTTGAACGACGTTGAAAAAGTCGCCAATGAAGTTTTAATGAAGGCGAAGAAAGAAGAATTATACATTGGTTTGTTTTTATTCTTTAAAATTTTAATAATATCTTGAAAAATTGCGCATTCAGTCGATAGAATACAATAAAACTTCACTTATTTAAACAAAGGAATAAACAATTTCAAATAACTGAAGTTCATATAATGAGAATTTACGATTTCCTTACTATTTATCATTCAAATAATTCAAGCTTAGATGAATGAATTCAATCAATTGTATTGAATAGAATTGAAATAAATGTAATTCTATGTAAAAAGCCAAAAATCTGTTTAATACATACAATCAGGAATAAAATGATATGATTTTTTTAAGACTATTCCAACATATCTAAAAGATACAACCATATAAGTATGATAAAAATGCTTTCAAATAAAATTAAAATTGATAATCGATCTTTTAAAGAAAACTTATTGCTAATACTTCCATTAGGACAATTATCGATGAACATTTTGTAATTTCCTCATCAATATGAAAGAGACATGTATCTCTATAATAAAAGGATAAAATCTCCGATTTTTTTTTTTCATAATTTTATATTCAATAGAATGAATTAGAGTATAAATACGAAATAAAGTATAAATTACATTTCACACTTTAATTATTTTAATAATCAATCATTTTCCACAAAAACGATTCAAATTTGTAGAAAGAAATGTTATTAACTGCAATTCAATCATATATATATATATAAAGTTTAAAGTTATATATTAAATTCAAAAAACAATTATATGAAAATTATATGGTGGCTATATTATCATTTTATATCTGACTGTAATATCTGTTCTTATTATCATTTCTATGCATTCTTACTTATATTGACTTTATATCTGATCAACAGAGAATTGTTTTTCATCATGAACAATGGAAATCGTTTCTTCATCAATTTTTTCTATTTCTATTTCCATTTCTATTGTCATTAGAACAAAATAACAAGAATTCAAAATCCTCTTATTTTTATTTTTGTTTAAAACTTAGTAAATTCCAATTTTTCAGGTTTCAAGGATCCTCATCAATTTGCTCCTTCACGAAATTTCCTCGAAGTAAAGAAAAATATCGAGAGATCAAAGGTCTTTCAATTACTCCGCGGTATGCCAAAAGGAGCGATACTTCATGTTCATGATACATCTCTCGTTAGCAGCAATTATACATATCACAATATCACGTTTCGTGACAATTTATATGTCTGTATTGATAAAGGTGTTGTTCATTTGCGTTTTTTTCGACTACCTGACAAATCATGTAACTGGGAACTTCTGAAAAAAGTACGTGAAGATCCGGTACGTGGAGAGATGGTGAACAACATGATCAAAGCAAGAATGACGATGGAATGTAATGATCCTACAATTGCCTATTCAGATATTAATAAAGCTTGGAATAAATTCACAGATATCTTCACATTCATAAATTCTTTGCTTACGTATAAACCCGTTTACGAGGATTATTATCTTCAAGCTCTAAAAGAGTTGTACGAGGATAATGTTATGTACCTCGAATTAAGATCAACCTTACCAACTTTATACGACTTAAATGGAATCGAATACAAACCGGAAGATGTGGTTAATATTTATGAGACACTTACTCGAAGGTATTTTTTTTTTTNTTTTTTTTTTTGCATGTTAATTATTTCAGATTATATATTTTTAATACTCGGTGGAATACGTTAAATTTTTTAATCTGAATAAATTAGATCGATCCTCGACCGATACTTAAACATTCATTAGTAATACATACTCATTTTTGTATTCATGTTGTAAAATTTTTATAGTTTTCAAAATGAGATATTTCTAATATGTTTATTTATTAAAATTAAACTTCCCTTGATATAATTTTTATTTTATATGTGATTTAAAATTTTTAGTTTATTATATAGAATTTAAAAATATATTATATATATAGATTAATTTTTTTTAATTGATATAGATAGACTATTATATTAATAAATTATTTTTTTTTAATATTTTGTATTGTATTTGCAATACTAATTATAATATTACATATTAATTATTCGTCGAAGAATTAATATAATATTTTAAAGTTTGTAATAATTAAAATACAAATATACAAATATATATTGATATGCTTTTTAATAAGTTTATTTTAAATTACTATATATATGAAACTTAATTGTTTAATATTGTTATGATAATAATCTTGTTCTATTATTATTAAATTTCTTGTCATTCACTTGTAATTTGTTTCACTATTGAAGATTATAATATTAACAGTATATATAATAATATCAATTTTCTATATGTAGGTTTAAAGAAGATCATCCAGACTTTGTAGGAGCCAAATTAATTTACGCTCCTGCACGATCTGTTGAGCATAAAGAGGTGGAATATTATATAAAAACTTTGAAAAAATTGAAAAAAATATATCCCAATTTCGTAGCAGGATTCGATTTGGTTGGCCAGGAAGATTTAGGACATACACTTGAATATTTCGCAGACTTGCTGAAAAATATTGGACAATATAATATTAGTTTCTTTTTTCACGCTGGTGAAACAAATTGGTTGGGTGCTTCTACTGACGAAAATCTTGTTGATGCTATCTTACTAAATACTCGACGTATTGGCCATGGGTGAGTAAAAAAAATGAAATGAAAAAAATTTTCCTATAATTTAATAAAATAATGAAATTTAATAATTTAATGAAATTTATTGAATTGATAAATATTAAAATATCTGAATAAAATATTAAAATATTTAAATATCTTAAGTAAGTATTAAATACATATTAGATATATGACGTGATTATATAAATTTTTTATAAAATAAATTGTTTTATATAATATTATAAGTTATAAAAATCTTTTGGAATTGTACTGAAGATTATTCAAGATTATTCAAGATTATTCAAGTATTGATGAAACTATTTACTTTAAAAGATTATCTTATCGTTTGTCTTATCGTTTCATACAGATTATAAAGAATAGAAATAAAGATAGAAAATCATAATTAAAATTAAAAATTATAATAGTTCTCAAATATTAATAATCAATTAATACAACTATATGAAATTTTCTTCATCATTTTTCTTTTAAATAATTTCTATTTAGATATGCGCTGGCATCTCATCCCTTTCTTCTGGAACTTGCTAGAAAAATGGACATCGCTATCGAAATAAATCCGATCTCAAATCAAGTTTTAAAACTTGTTGATGATCTTAGAAATCATCAGGCAAAAACATTGTTTTCCAAAGGATATCCATTAGTAATATCTAACGACGATCCCGGTTTGTGGGGCTCAAGAGCTCTTAGCTATGATTTTTACGAAGCTTTTATGGCACTTATGTCAACACATGCCGATCTTAGAAGTCTCAAACAATTAGCCCGTAATTCTCTTTCTTATAGCAGTTTAAGTAATTGTGAAAAAAAAGAAGCCCTGAATATTTGGGAAAAGAAATGGCATATCTTTATCAAAAATATAGCGTATAATAATTTTCATAACTATAAATGAATAAAAATGACAATTTGATTAATTATTTGCAAATAATTATGTATTTAAAATTTAAATAATACTTAATTATTTGTTTTTCTTCTTATTATTTTATCTTTTATTTGCTAGAATTGAATCATTTTGATTAATTTCTTTAAAATATAGTTTTACTTCAAAAAATTTATAAATGAAACTTTTTGAAAGTCATACTTGTTTTTAATAATTATATTATTATATCTAATGATAGTTGAAAAATTAATTTAATCAAATGATTATATTTTTAAATAAAATTTGTAATAAATAAATTTTTTTTTATTCATTTAATTTATATTCGAAGTGCGTGTGTGTGTCAGAAAAATATATTCATATGTATATTGTGATTATTATCATACCATCAGATGTTATTACATTCACACTTTATACTTAATCGCGTTGAAAAAATAAAATTATCATGAAAGATATTTAATATCGATCAATGATAAATTTTGAAATATGAAACCAATTCATCGTAATTCTTTTTATTCAAAGAGACAACGTGATTTATGCTATATAACTGTTTCTGTGGATCCTTTGCACGGATGCATGATTTAATTTCATTTAAAATCTCTTTTCTTCTGCTCGTGCAACCGTATAATTAAGTCGGCTGCTACATTGAAAGCCATGCGGCATAGTGTCTTTTTTTTGTTGTCCGGAAAAAAATGAATAGAATTACGCTTAATGACGCGGTATGAGTCTGCGTAGAAATTATCCAACAGTTAAAAAGGTGTGATCACATTGTATACACGACTATCGAATGCAAACATTACCTGTCGCTTCCAAAATAATCGGAAGTTGAATGGGATCAAAAGATATGTCCTGCTAAGAAAAATATATCTATGTGTGAACATAGAACAATAATTTTTTTTTCTATAATATAATCAATAAAATTAAATAAAATTTTTAGATTTAAGAATAAAATATAATCAATAACTTATGTGAAAATATATATTGGAATATATTATCATTATATTATATTACTTGTAAATAAAAAAGATGTAAAGTAATTATGTAAAATGATCTTATAATTAAAAAATCATTTATTTCAGCTTATTCAAATAAGAAAAATATGACATTACACATAAATATGACATTTTTTTTCTTTTTTGTTTGATTTCTGTTATGTGTGTTATTTGATTTTAATATAACTAACACAAGATTCATTATTTAAATTTTATTCTAATAATTTTTTACTTGAAAAAATTAATTAAAATTTTAGTAAATGGTTAAAATTATTTGATGTAATTCTTCTTTGACGATTTAAATTGAAAACGATAATGAAAAAAATTTCCACATATTTTTTCCAAAAAAGTATAAAAAATAATAATGAATTTAATGAAATAATTTAATAATTACAATTGCACAAAATTCATATAAACTTCAAAAATAAAAATATCACACATATTGGATTCGGAATTCTTCGCCATTTTGACAATGGTGCAGCAATGCCATCTGACGATAGAGGCAGTGAATAGCTGAAAGGGTGTAAAAATGAGACCCAAGATTGTCTTTCTATCTTCGTTCGTTTCCAATCTTCGAGCGTACTGTCGAGTGTTGAGCCGACTGTCGTGAGTGTGTGTAATGTCGACAAGAATGTTGACGTTTAATTCAGCTCGTCGGAAGCAACGAATACGCGCCGTGGTAGCCTCGTGAATAATGTCAATGGATTCCTCGTAACTTATTGCACGCAGTCGTAATAATGTTACGCACTGTGGAGTTCACAGTAAACTCGTAGACTTCATGAACGAACAATCATTGTACGCGCGAGGGCTTTGGCTCGAACTGTGACGCGCCATATTGGTTTAAGAGAATTGTTCATATTAGTGAGCTTTGGGTGAATCAATTTTATTGCAAATGCACATAGTATAATAAAGTTCCAACAATGGAAGAGACTAAAATCATATATCACATTGACGACGAAGAAACTCCTTATTTAGTGAAGCTTACCATCTCACCGGAAAGGGTCACTCTTGCCGACTTCAAAAATGTCTTGAATCGACCGAATTATAAGTATTTCTTCAAATCTATGGACGATGATTTTGGGTAAGTGTCATACTAATACACATGTTTCTTGAATGTTTCATTTTTATTCTTATATAGTACAGATTAATGATTATTACCGTGGCAAGACATTATCTTTCATCTTCAACTCGAGTCAATGCCCTACGATTTAAACAGTATCCGCTTCATGGGATAGAGTTACATTTTGACAATATTCTTGTTTTGAGTTTGATTTGTGACGATTATTTTTATTTTCTTTTTTTTTTTTTGAAGTATACGAATGCAATCAAAATATTATATTTTTATATTAAATAATTTGTTATAAACAGTACTTAATTTTATATTTTTATTTTACTTTTTATATCATCTATATTATACTTATTATAGTTTTTTAGTAAATCTTATAGTAAATCTTTATTTGTTTATGAGTAGATTGAATTAGATACATGAATAGTTTTATTAAACCAAATAATTGGTATATTAACAAATTTTGTTTGCTCAATAGTGTGGTGAAAGAAGAGATTGTAGATGATGATGCCCATCTTCCGTGTTTTAATGGACGAGTTGTTTCTTGGGTAAGATTTTTAAATAAATTCTAATTGATAAATTTTATAATTTAATTTTTTTTTAAAGATTCATGTCAATCATATATAATTTAATAAAAAATAATATAATGAAAATATAATGTTAACTTTTAGAATTATCAATAAATTTTTAGAGCTAACTCTAAAAAATTAATATAAAAATATATGAAATCTAATCAATTTAGTATATTATCAAAGTAAAAAAATTATTTCAAAGATTCATATAATTTTTTATATTGACAAATCTTTTTTTCTATTAAAAATGTTTAATAAAATATGAATTATTAAAATATAAGTTTTTAATAAAAAAAATTTATTTATTTATAAATAGTTGGTTTCTGCTGAAGGCAGTAATGTGTCAGATGGTGCTTCACAATGCACAGATTCAGTAGCACATAGTGAGGCAAAACATGATCGTGTTGATCATGTGACACCTGGTCACACAAATCGTGGTCCACCTCCTTTATCACATGATGATACTTTAACTGAAACTGAAAGTATTACAAGTAGTCGACAAGGGCATCATTTACATAAAAGTTCAAGACATCATTCAGATAAATATGAGAAATATAATAAATATAATGGTATGTTATTAATTATGAATTAATCCATAATGTCTAATTTTTTAAATATAACTTTTAAGATATTCTTTGATAAAAATAATAAAAATAATAAAGATAAAAGATGTTTATATTATTCTTATTTGTTTATTTATCTCTAGGACTTCGTATAAATGGTCATTCAAAGCACAGATCAGGCCATGGTTATGAGACTGCTTCTATTTTAAGTTCAGATTTAGAGACAACAACATTTTTAGAATCAGATGATGATGCCAGTAGCCGTATAACATCAACTACAGGCAGACATACCAATATGAGTAGTACAGTTGACAGAGCAACTTTAGGTAAATACATTTTAAAAAAGATAAAAATAAATCTGAGATTCAAACTAGAAAATGAATTTTATGTATTTAAATATTAGAGCGGCGTAGACCACAGAGAAGAAGGCGTCATAGATTGCCACCTATGTCTAGAACATCATCTTTTAGCAGTATCACAGACAGTACAATGTCCTTAAACATCATAACAGTTTCATTGAATATGGATACTGTTAATTTCCTTGGGATTAGTATTGTTGGACAAAGTAACAAAGGTGGAGATGGTGGCATTTATGTAGGTTCAATAATGAAAGGGTATGTGTTAAATTTCAATGAAATTTCGATTATATTTTACATAAAGCTCTGTATAATGAATTGTTAGAACAGAGTATTCAATAAAATATTTTTAATATGTTTCTAATATTAAATCTTTCATTTAATTAATTTCAAATGTATAGGGGTGCAGTTGCTTTAGATGGGCGAATAGAACCTGGTGATATGATCCTTCAAGTAAATGACATTAATTTTGAAAATATGTCTAATGATGAAGCAGTTAAAGTACTACGTGAAGTAGTTCAGAAACCAGGGTATGTTTATAAAAATAATATATTAAAATTTTAATAAATGAATTAAAAATGAATTATAACAGAACTACAAATATATTACAGACCAATCAAATTAGTTGTTGCAAAGTGCTGGGATCCTAATCCTAAAGGCTATTTTACAATACCACGTACAGAACCTGTACGGCCTATAGATCCTGGTGCTTGGGTAGCACATACAGCTGCTATAAGGGGGGAAGGTTTTCCTCCACGCCCGCCAAGTGCTACAACATTAACATCAACATCAAGCAGTCTTGCAAGTACACTGCCAGATACAGAACGTGAGTCAAAGACCATTATTAAATAAATTTTAAATTTAGATTTATTAGATAAACAAATATTACATAAAAAATTTATTTTTATTAGGACCATTAGAAGAACTTCATCTTACGGTGAATACGGATATGCCAACAATAGTGCGAGCAATGGCTCGACCTGATTCAGGATTGGAAATTCGTGATCGTATGTGGCTTAAAATAATAATACCAAATGCATTTATTGGAGCAGATGTTGTGGATTGGCTTAATACTCACGTAGAAGGATTTATTGATCGACGCGATGCAAGAAAATACGCATCTCTTATGCTAAAAGCTGGTTTTATTAGGCATACAGTAAATAAGATAACATTTTCCGAGCAATGTTACTATATATTTGGTGATTTGTGTTCAGCTATGAGTAGCATGAAACTAGATTGCGATACAGTCGGACCATTGCCTCCGCCGAATGCCTGGGACATGCCTTATTCAGGAACATATGCACCTCATTCTGCAACTGGTTATAGTCCAATGCCATTTAATTTCACTAATGAACCAACTGTATATGGTTATCACCGAGAAGAAAGTGTTCATAGTGGATCAGGTGAGAAACGCAATAATGTCATAACTATGTAATTAAAAATTCAATATTTTAAAGTAATATATTTTATTAGGCGGCAGTAGTGCAGGTAGTGAACACATTTGCAAAGAACCTATTCACGATTTGAAATCCTGTTCTTCAGCATCTGAATCTGAATTACATATTCCATCAGTGCCAACTATGCCAAATAAGAATTCTGGCAATGGAAATGGTTCAAATGGAAAGAGATCTAATGGTAGTCGCAGTCGTTCCAGTGGTTCTGAACAATCTGTGCAGACAGGAACTGGTTCAGGGAATCAACAGAACCAACAAGACTTATCTGGTAGTAGACAGTCATTTCGCATTGCGATGGGAAATCCTTGTGAATTCTTTGTTGATGTTATGTAGATGCCGGTGTTGTAAATAGATGAGTTATAAATTTAGAAAAGAAAGCAGCATATAATTGAATATTTTCGAATGAATACTTTGAAAGATTTTATTTATCAAATTAAATAAAATCTTATACTAGAAATGTTCTTAGTATATTCTTTCTCTTTTTCTTTTTTTTAATGCTATTTTCATAATATATCTTCCAATACAAATCTTTTAATAAAAATTGTATATTGATGATAATATATATTTAACATCAATTTTATATTTCAAAGTATTTATTCGCTGCCCTATTCAATTTATTTTCAGGTTCATATAATTCATATTTGAGATTTTAATAATTTGTTTATATGTGTCGTCTCAATTTTGCATTCCACTTTATATTATGTATTTGACAGTTATTCCTCAAAGTTCGTCTCTATAAATATAAATTTATTAAATAATTATTAAAATATTTGCATGTAACATGTAAATGTATATACTAATGTGGTTCAAAGAAGTTGCATCAAAATGTAAAATCTAAATTCAACAAGAGTAAAGCAGGTATTTTTTATGCCATATCAATAATAAATTTTTATTAATTATTTCAATTATAAATTTTTATAATCAATAATGAATCATTTTTAGAATTTTATTTTTATTAGTTTTTGTAGCCGTTGATTATAATTCCTTTTATCTTTATTATTTAATCGATTTTATTTAAGTAAAATTTGAAAATTTACACATAGTAATGTACATCATAAAATTATCATAAAATACAGTTAAATTTTTATGTAAGACATTTTTATGTAAATTATACAAAGTAAATATAAAATCGTATTATTAAGTTTTGCTAAAGAAAAAAAAAAGATAAAAAATAATGAACAAGTACATTTCCAATTTTATGCATGAGATATGCAACTGCTGTGTTGAAGTTTAGCATATATATAGCAATAACGAGACTAGTACAACTATTATGTACGAGAAACTCAGTATTTAATATCGATAATTCATTATTATTATTATACATACACTATACTGCACGCTTTACTATAAATATATTATGGTGTACTTGTTGATGTAAAGCACGATCGCACATGAAGTAGAGCACAAGCATGGTCATGTAAATAACACGATTTATGTCGATGAATTTATGTAATGAACATTGCAATTTGCTATGTAATGCATGTAAATTATACTTATTTTATAAAAAAAAAAAAAAAAAAAAAAAGGTATGTATTTTTATTAATATTTTTCCATTGCTTGCGTTCTAGGATTGTCTACGACAATGGGGCAGCTATTTCTTTAAAATCGAGAGGATATTGTTTCGAAATGTTAAAAGATTCACTAATTATTACTTTTCAAATTCATTTTTTAAGAATAATTTGTTTTAAAAAAAAAGGAAAACAAAACATATGTATATATACAAAGAATACATGCAATACAAATATTATTGTATATTGAGTAATTATTAGTGAATCATTTAAAAAACATTGTCCATGCGTAAAGGACAAATTTTTATTGTATTCCTACTAATTCAAGTTATTTGATGATGACAAAAAAATTGTTCACAATTGTGTTATGTGGTATTGCATCACAGGTTCGACAATATGTAAATAGATCGAATTATGCTCATATTAAATGTGCCATCTTATCAGTGTTAGAAAATACTGAAGAAATTGCGACTTATAATTTATATATACGAGCTTCCCAGGTGTATGCATTTCTTTATTGTTTATGTTCATTGATGTCATTTTATCTTACGAATTATTACAAATTATTATGAATTATCTTCTGCATCTCACACACACAAGCTTATTTAATTTCAACAAACGTTTGTTACATTTAATTGCGTCTTGCCGTTGCGTTATTATTATATAAATTTTTATTTAGTATATCACGTTGTATCGAAATAATATTCTTTTTATAAAATGCCGCTAGAAAATATTTGCATTCGATGCACATAAATGCATTGGCGTTATAACATTATAAGAATAATTTCAAATATGGTGCAATGTTTCTTTTGAACATTTCACATTGAAAAAAAAGAAAAAGAACAATTTAATAATTTTTATTATTTTTTTGTATCGATTTTACTACTTTTTATATTTACATTGCTTTATTAATATTTATAAAACATATATTATAAAATATTATTGATGTTTTTTATATAACAGGAACCATGTTTGAAAATTTCGTTGATTAATCATTCGTGCAATTTTCCAAAAATAACAATTAAAATTTTTTTACTTTTCTTTTTCTTCGGCATCTTATAATTATTCATAAATAGATCCACTTTTTATATATGTACTGTCTCTAGAGAATAATATAACGGTATTATATATCGCAAAAAATTTTTTACCAGTTTGATAAAGCACATAATATATTGTATAGCAAAGATTTCATTGGAAAATTGCGCACTGGCATTTAATCATTAATTTCAATGAACGTTTTCATTTTGCTGCAAATAATTATGTAATTCAATATTTAAGAAGGTAGTTTACAAAACTGGTTTACCGATATCATTACGGTATCAATTATTATATATTATTCTGTAAAATATATACATATTTTATGTTGCAGACAGGTTGTACAGTATGTTTGAGAAATGCAAAATTAATATTTACAAGATGACGCAATTTCACCATCATCTGAATGATAAGAAATGCAAATTTTAAAAAATTATAAAAAAAAAATGAAAATATGAATTTTGCAATTCACAGACATACTTTTAACTTGGTTTATTTTATTTTCTATTTATTGTGCCGCTCTAAAAGGACGTGCTGCTTTCTGTCTAACAAATGACTCAATTTCCTTTGCAACTTACGTTGTGCGCATGTGGATTACACCGTGTCAAAGACGTAATCGAGTCATTTTTGTGCCTTGTGCTGCGCTGGCGATTGATGCAGAGCGGCGTATGCACGAGGAAACTCGTACACAGACTAGCGATTTGGACAACAATAGCAGAGACAATATCTGTGAGTGTATTTTATTTTGTCACATCGAGTGACTCATCACTGATTCCTTTCTTTCCGTATATCTTTATCTTTCGAGCTAAAACATTAGAAAATCATCTGTATCTGAAAGTTTTACAAGTAATTTTCTTTTTATTTTAATTAATCTTTAAAATTTCTATTCTCTTGCTTCATTTTACGTTTAGTTAAATTTTTCTCTTATTGTTTAAGTTTCTATTAATGAATAAAATATTTATCGATAATTTTAATAATAAAATTAACACAACGCATCTTTAAACTTGTCTTGAAATTTTTGCACTCCACTGCTTGTTCAAATAAATACAGCATCGTACGAGTATTTGTAACAAAAATCTACGAATTTAACGTTTATTTGCAATAGTAGAATATATTGTCTCGTATCTGTATTGCCAATAGTTTGCAATTATTCTTGCATAAATTTACATATACAAGACAAATATTATTTTTTTTATATCTTGTATATTTCCTTTATTTTAATCATTTTTTCGTTACATATCGTTGTCTATATATTCCTCCAAAATATATTATAGTATGTCCTTTTAGTGCAGCTAGAAAATAAACATTCTTGAGACTTAAAACATAAGATGCACGTTTCTCTTTTACAGATGAAGAAGACATTTTGGAGTACCAGTTTCTGCACAAGTGAAGATACTTGTTAATGCAATATGTATACGTAACAATGGTAATAGAAGTTAAAAAAAAAAGGAAATTAAGATATATTTCCACTTGATCTTGAATTAAGTGGATGGAAGTAGCAAACGCGAGACACACATATATATATATATATATATATTTATATATATATTTAATAGACGAATTTTGATAAAGCGTCATAGAAAATAAAAAATCTAAACTATCATATAATTTGTAATGGCTATACATAAAAGAAGAAGATAGATTTAAGGCCATCGAATTTCCATTGATATTTAATATCATTCGAAAATATGTATAATGCAATCTATATAGAATATTAATATATTCATGAGATTTCAGAAAGTCAATTCTAAAGAAAAAAGACACTATAATTGATATACAAAATTGTCGGTTGAGGTTCATTTATTAAGAAAGTAATTAAAGTTTGGATTAGATAGAATGAAATTTATCTATATTTCGCTTCATCTAATAAAAACTTCAACTTCTTAATAAATAAATCTTAATCAACATTTTTGTTTTAATTTCTAGAATCGACCAATCAAAAGTATCTCATAGATATATTAATATTCTGGATAAGAAAAAGAAAATACGATGGCGAAAAAGCGTGCTTTTTTAACGCAGGGTGCATGTAGATTGAAAAAAATCCTTCTTAACTCCATATATGTGTTTTATCGATAATATTCTTGTCCTACTTTTTCTTCCTTAACTTAAAATAATCATGAGTATATTCTCTATATTCTCTTATATTTGACATGTATTTTTTTACTTTATTTGTTAATGCAAAAAATAATAGATTTTTTGAATTGATAATTTTTACTTACAGTATTGAAATTTTGTTTTTTATATATTTTAGATTTTTCCTTCTTGAATATTCATTCTCATGTCATAATATGGCTGTACTTTTAATTATACGGGTATATAAACATCAAATTTATAAAATGCAAAATCGAAATGAAGATTTTGCATATATTGATTAAAATGAAAAAAAAGAAAAGAAATGAGGTAAAGGAGCAAAAAGTGTCAGTAATAAAAGATGATATTCGCTAAATTCCTGATTTATTAGTACAACTTATGACTGCAAGTATGTCTGTAATCAAGTGTTAATTCATGCTATGAAAATTAATTAGTATGAAGCATATTATACAAATGTTGCAAGTATTATTGTTTTACTTGAATTTTACGCTTAAATGAAGGAAAAAAGAAAATTTTAAATTTTTGTAATTATAAATAATACAGAACACTTTATATAAAAATATTATATTCGAGTTTTCGCGTTAATTCTCAAATAAATAATTACAGAATATACAAAATATAATTAACAATATTTTTACGTTATTCTTCTAATTTAACACTATGCTTCGTTGAATTTGCTTTATACTAAATAATTGAGAACATTATATATATGTACGATTTTATTTTTCCATACTACTTTAATCAATTACTCGTTAAGGGAAGGCAATACGTAAATAAATTATAAATATAGGATTGTATAATTGGTGAAACACCTTTTTCTCCTTTTTTGTGTGCAAGTTTATACGAATAAGTGTGATAATATTGCATTATCGTGTGCAATCACGAGTCTTCTCCCTCACTATAAAAATTTAAAGGAAGAAAGAAAGAAGTAAACCTCAACGAGTCAATATGAATCGAATAAAACTCATTGAGATGCATTCGAATGCTATTCTGACTGAAGTATTTTAATGTCACTTAGAGTACCATAGTACAAGGCGACAAGATAGTCAATCGATATCGCATTTACAGACAGATAGTTCATTCCTTGTATTTTTTATCCCTTTGCGAGACAAATGTTTGCGAACTTTTTTATTAAAGCTATGACCACGTACATGGTGTCGTCGATACCCTATTTGCGATGTTCAACGATTTTTACACTATTTATTATAATTATGTGAGATTAAGAAATTTGTAAAAAAAAAAAAAAAAAAAAAAGAAAAAGAAAAGAAAGGAAGAAAAAAGTGAAACGTTAAAAAAAAGAAAGAGAGCGACGTATTCACTAAATTGAATAAACGATTTCTTCGTGTGTGTGTTTCGTGGAAACATTGCGAGACATTGGTATGTCAGATTATGAATATTGAGAAAAATTTCTCTACCCCTTTTTTTCTTCCGCGAAATTTATTGCGAAAAAGGGGGAAAAAATGATATAACGTGAAACGAGTTTGTATCCATAGTATGTACGATTACGTGGATGATAACGAATAATCACGAAGCTCAGATTATTCCGCAAGATCAGGTAAAGATCTGCAGGAAGTATAAGCTAAAATAGAACGATGAAAGAATTCAATACATGTAGTAGTGTGTGGATATACAGGGAAATAGATTGTAAAGATTTTTATGATTGTCTGAAATTATTATTGTCTTTGGTATTTGTCTTACAATTTCATTCTTAACACAACTAAACAGCGCAGCTGTTTTCAACATCTACGAAGCTTTTCCATTACGCGATACTTCAGATCAAACCTCAGTAGCGCAAAAGAATTATTTTATTACTGCACAACATATTTTGGCAATACGAATCGTATTTCTCGATTACGTTGCATGCTCCTTATTCGTTAAATGATAACTTATAATTATTCAACAATGGTTATCTTCATTATTTCCTCCGGTTCTTCATTTCCTTCATTCTATATTTTATTTTACTAATTTTAATGCTAACCGTATATAGTATCAACAACAATTAAAAGCACGATACTACAGTTTCGTTTTATAATATTCTTTCAACGATGAAACTTTCATCGTGATGTAAATTCCTTCGCTTAATCGAGCAACGAACAATCCATTCCTTTACTTTTCTTTTTTTCTTAATCATGTTGCTCGGATTAATTTAAATCGACTAACGATCGATATGACGATGAAACTAACAGAATAGCAAGCACATTGTTCATCACCAAACGGAACATTTCTTAATTGGGTTCATGGGTGCGCCTAGAGGACAATGAAATACTTCCGCGAAATCCTTCGAATTTGACAAAGTACCAATCACGCGAAATTTGCCAGGTGAATGCACCGCGGTTTTTAATTTATTCCTAGTAGCTTCCGGTCTCATCGAGCCACACCATACTTGAGCGAAATTGAGAAAGAACAATTGCTTTCCGGTCGCGTTCAAACCAGGCAGAGTTTCGTCAGCATCCTCGTTTAAGCGTAACCATCTTTCGTAAGCCTTAAAAGGATATTATTTAAGAAATATTAATATTTTAGCATAAAAAATAATTATAATTCTTAAAGAATTTTCATAAATTTCTTTGTTAAATATAATTATAGAAGAAAAAACAAACAGATTGAATTAGAAAGAAATTGCTTACTCGAAAAGCTTGTTTAATGCCACCATTGTCCGCGATATTTTCTCCCTGCGTATTCATTCCATCAATTTTCATTCCAACTTCGGGCACAATATAATGACTATACTGGTCTGAAAGATTAAGATTAAATAATATTCGAACAGTATGTTCAAAAGAAAGTTAAAAAGATCAATATCCTATTACCGATAAGACATTGGGCACGTTGATGAAATCCGTAAATAGCTTCATCTTTCCACCATCTGTGTAGATTACCATCCTTATCGAATAATCGACCTTTATCATCGAAGCCATGCGTAATTTCATGGCCAATTACAACTCCTATTCCACCGTAATTTAAACACCGTGGGAAATATCTGTGATAAAAGGGCGGCTGTAATATGCCAGCTGGAAACACTGAGAATGAAAAATGATTTAATAATTAAATCAGTCATTAATTTAAAAAGTCAATTAATTGGTAATTTTCTTTGCTTTATTTGGTAGAAATGAAATGAAAAAAATGATAGTATAAAATTCTGGAATAGATTCTTTTTTATTTTGTTTTTATTAAAGAAATTATACTGACTTATCCTATTCTTGCTACGACTGTAATAAGCATTGACCACTGCTGGTGCGGTATTCCAGAGGGTCTTGTTAACAGGGCTGCCAAGCCGATCTTGTTCCACTCTGGTCAAATGTTGTAAAATATTTAATGTATTCTCGAAATACTTATCTGGACGGATCACGATCTAAAAGTTGACCAGATATTTAAATATATTTGTAACAACGAGTCTACTAATTACCTAATTACCTTTTTTAGATTAGTTACCTAATCTAAAAAAAAATCAACTTTATTGTTCTTACATCCTTATAACGTTCATTCAACAATTCAGGTTGTAAAATGAAATCAGGATAGCCTATTCTTAACAGCATTGCGTTCACTTTCTCGGTGGCCAATTCTTTCGTTTCGTCATCGATCCAGGAAGTTTGATTCAAAAGCTCTTTAAATGATTGTTGTATCTCTCGAGTCATAGACAATGTCTACATAGAAAAATTTTTCAAATTGACAAATATTTAATCAATTAAAGAGAAAAAATTTTTCTTACATCGTTTTTGCTTTTTTCGTCGAAATATTTCTTCACGAACATTGATCCTACAGCCATGCCCATATTAGAATTTACTTGTGCTACACAATTTTTCCATCTGGGGGGTGCTTGTTCTCTTCCAAAAAGAATATAATAAAATTTTTGCTTAGCCTCTTGAAATCGATCATCTAGATTATTTACCCTATGCCTAACGAATCGCCAAAGAAGATAGTTTGCGATAGTTCTGCAAATAAAATATACACAAAAATTATTTAAAATTAAATTTTTTAATTAACAATGCTTAGTTCATATTTCACATTAAAAAATCTTACCGCGGACTAGTTTTTGAAAGAAGATTTACCAAGTCTTGGATATATTGCATCGCATAAACAACAACAGGTTCAGAAATATTAGTTGGTCGAGCTAAAACGATGGTTAAATATCGATGCCAATTAATTTGAGGTATCAGAGTTCTCAGTTCTCCAATACTCATTCTTTGATATAATTCTGAAAGATTTCTTCTTTCATCAGGAGATGATGTGATCTATGAAATACGAAGTCAATTGTTGAATGGTAAATAATCAAATTAGATAAAAAAAATTAGAAGAATTGAAATTTATGTACATACTTTGGCAAGTTTCGTTTCAAATTCTATTAATTCGTCAGCATCCATAGTAGCATTCTGCAAAGATGCGCCCAGAAGAGTAGAAATTTTTATTAAATAATTTTTGTAAGCTTTCAGATAAATCATATTCGATGGTTGGAGAAAATAATCTCTTGTAGGTAAACCCAATGATGTCTGATCGAACTGTAATTCAACTTTTCTTAAATTTAATAAGTAAAAATAATAAAATAATAATAAAAGTATAATAGTTAACAATAAATAATATAATTGAAAATATATAACATTCGAATATTGTATAAAATATCGATTGTCACTACTTTATAAAAATTAAATAATTTCTTATCTAAAAAATTTGAAAAATTCAAATTTCTACCTGTATAACATATTGATCGCTGTTCTTAATATCTGGTGCAACCCATTCCGAAATAAGAATATCGTTATTATAAAGCCTCAATTGTGCAACCAAAAGAAGCCAATCGAATTTTTCTGGATCCCAGTTAGGTCTCAATATAGGCCATCCACCGAGTTCATCTAAAAGTTGTATAAGCGGCCGTTCCATGCGTTGCTCCAAGATCTCTAGCCACATGTCTCGTGTTAAAATTGATATTCATTTAATAAAAATTAATAAACAAAAATACCTGATTGAAAAAAAATTTACCGTAATTCATACAACTTTGAAACAAATGTTTAGCCTTGACTATAGCATCATCCGTATTCAACATAACTTCTTTCAATATAGGTTCTTCAAGAAGCTCTTTCAACACAGAATCTAATGATTCTCTAATCATTTCGAACGTATCATAGGCAGCTTTGTCTTTAGGGATAGGATTGTGTCTCGCCCAATTGCCACAGGCAAATTGATAGAAATCTTCGCAAGGATCAGTACTCTTGTCCATGTACTTGAGCATGATTTTTGCTGCGGCGAATATCTGTTTCTTAAAAAGCGTATGAGCAGCAATTACGCAGAGTAATTAATAGGACAACATCGAAAATGTACCTTGAGCCTCTCTGATGGCCCACTCGTTTCCTTCGCCTTTCCAAAACGCATGGAAATCTGTATGAGTATCGTCTTCCTGTTGATAATCATCAATTGGCAAACTAGAGTCCGAGTCATCGATGGAAATTTGACGTCTTCCACCTTGTTCGCCCTCGTCCGACTCGTCTTGAGAACGTTCTTCAATATTATCGTATTTGAAGAATTTGGAACGTAGTTCTTCATTTTTATGAGAGTCATGGGTGTACTCGCCATATCTGTGAAAGAAAATTTTTGAAAAAGGTTCGAATTTATATCGGAATTGGTAAAATATGTTTTTTTTTTCAATTTAAAAAGAAACTACGAAAATATAATAATTTATGAAAATTGATAATTACTCTCGATAATCGTTAGTTTGTATATCAGATTTTCCTTTAATCTCATCGGCATCCATCTCAGAGTAGTAATCATCCAAGAAATTGTTCAAATTTTCATCGGAATTTTGATCATCTGACTTTTCAGTGTTGTAGTCTACTTCTATCGCTTGATCCTATATTGGGTTATTCGATACAGAAATAATATTTTTGCGATATTATTTTTTAAAATAAAAAGTTAAATGAGAACATAGAAATTGAAAGATGAATAGATTGTGTATTTTTATAAATAATGCGTTTTTTATTTCGAAGTTATTTTGGCAAGGGATAAAAAGATATGTCAAAAAATTGACCTTGCACGAAAAGAGACGATTGGTAGTGAGGCGATCGATATTTATACAGTACACCAGTAACACTAATTTAATGTTGATTAACTCTAATTAACGTCGTTGCGCACGACACTTGTTATCCGAAGTGGCTCATTTCCTTTTGAAATATTTTTTATCATCGAAGACATCTCTATTATTAATTCTTCAAAAATATCTAAAAGATAGAAAATTTAATAAATTTATAAAAATACAGCGATACACGATCGTCTGACCACTAATTCTCATTCGGTACATTTTAATATGACCACAATGGCGCTCCATGGTAAAAAGACGCCAAGTCCTTGCAGTCTTCTACTTCACATATTAATATTTTGTATATACCTACATTTCTATAGAAATATTCAACCATAAAATAATTACTTATAATTAATCTAATATTATATAATTACCCTTTCGTAATAAGTACTCTAAATTAATTATTCTTCGGGACTGTTTTTCGCCAATTGACGGGCCACTGTGGTGTGTGTTCGTTGCTATGTTTTGTTCGAAGCTAACGATCGTAGATTCAAGAAGGAAGGATGATTTTTAATTTTTTATGTGTATGTGTGTAATTTTTTTTTTTCTTTTTTTTTTTTTTTGGAAAAAATGGAAAAAGGGCGAAGAAGGAATAAGAAGCGGAGGAAGAAAAAATGGTATCAGTTAGCTAGAGCGTTCTGTAGAATCGCATTGTAGAATCGCTTTGAATTTGCTTGTTTTGGATAATGTACCCCATCCAGGTCTCTCTTGCGTCGTTGAAGCTGTCGTGGCGAAAGTAGAGATTCCATCGGCGCGTAGTAAGTTTTCATTTCAGGTATAAGGATTCTATCTTCTTCCTCTTCTTCTACCCGCTCTATCTCGCTGCGGCTGGTCGCTGCTAACAATTTCTAAGAATAATATACTTCCTCTTTGTTCCATTAATTTTTATAAAATTTTGACAAAAAAATTTATTTTTTTATCGTATATAATTTTACGATTTATATATATTTATTCATTTTCCTGTTCTTGACTTACATTTAATATCTTTCATTCAGAATTATCAATATATTTTTGAAATCTTAAAATAAGCTATTTAAAATATTTAAAATAGTAAGGCAGGAAAACAATTAAATTTAAAAACTCCTTCCTTCAATGGCAAACTTGAAACAACTTACACCAAGAAGTCTCAAGAACAATTTTAGCTATACCATCTTCCGAGTGTTATTTGAATTATTTTTTTCTGACAATAATCGATAAATCACGCCACGTATCTCGCACTTTATTCTGCTATTCAAATCTCTACGAGCAACCAACGAACCGGACGTCGTTAATATCAAGTTCATTTTATGACCACATCGTTATGTATATCTGGCAATAGACTTACGCGGAAAAGTCTCCTCGGTTCTCTCGTCCTGTCTTTTAGTCGCGTGAACCAAATGCGTACGATGATAAGGAGTTTTGCCAATCACCTGTGACCTCGAGAGGGCGATGAAAATTATAGTGATCGGCAATAACACGGCGGGAATCAGAAGCATTAATTTCACTCGGAAGCGCCAAGTATCGTTTCCGCCCATACACCACCTGCGATATCAAAACAAAAAAAAAACTTCCAATATTCTGATTTTATCTATATCTTTTCGTTATCTTAACGATAAGTAGCTAATTTTAAACATCTTACGAACTTGAGTCGACCAGTTTCCTTGTTAATGGCTAACCGACAAGAAGGGCAGGGACCACCGCTGAAGAAGTCATCGTCGTTATATTGGTCCAAACTGTTCGCGCTTCTCATCTTGTCTGAAAGCAAGTCGACCCCTTCTTCTCAATCTGATTATTCTACCTATTCTATTTCATCGTAACACATCGCGCAGTTATGAATCACACTTGCGAATCACTCGCGTATCACAAACGAAATCGAATCTATCTATCTTTAAGACACTCACAATGACCGTGCTCTTGATTCTTTTACGATTTTACATTTCCATTTGGTCGAATCGAAGGAAAGACATTCGAACCGAGATGGAATAGAAGAAATTTTCAAAATTTCGAAAGAATCGAGTGAACCGTTTTCGGAATATTGACACCGTGCGCTCGTGATGAAGAGAACAGACTGAAGCTATTGTGCAGCTCTGATCTCGGCACGAATGTTAATGTAACATTGCACGTACAGCCAAATTAGTCCTAGCAACATTTGTACGAGAGTAATTTCCATATGTAACGTCGGCAGTCAACGCCAATGGCGATGGCAACAACAATCGAGACGGTGCTCTATACGTACACGCACACCGCGAGAGGCATTTTACGCACTCCTTACGTCCAGTTACTCGTCAATCGACCCTAATAACTTGCAGTTATCGTTCAATAACGCGTCGCGCTGTTTTACATTCTACACGTGACCTGAACGTTATTAAGTCTTTTCTCATCGCCAATACTGATTGCCGTTTTAAGATGGAACTTCAAAAGGCTAACGGAGCAGGAGGTAGTTCCGATTTTTCATCCGTTATGTAGCGCGCCAATTACCATTGCCATATGCAAACGCGTTTTCAAGTTTTCTTCCGCAAGGACACTCGAGATATACTTGCGAGTGGAGAATCTCTGTTTGCAATTTGCACAACTTTGTGAAATGGAAAATATTTTAATGAAAAATGTTAACAATATTATGGAATATTTTTTTTTTTTTCAATATTATTAACTTCGAATTAACTTACTGTAAATTTGTGGTTTCCTTCTATTAATACAATCTTCATGATTTGATAAGAAATTCCAATATACTATGTTACAGCCATAAATTTCATTTTCTTCAGCGGTCATCATTTCTCGCGAGTTTTGATGTGTAATATTTTAAAAAGAAAATTAAAGAGAAATTACTAATGTCTGTGGTTTAATCACTAGAATGATATTATTTCGTCATTTTTTCGATAACAAGATGGATTAACCAAAGATTCTGTGTGGATGTATGAAAAAATTTCTTTTACTTCTCATTTCAGATTACTTCTATAAATGATTTTCTTTTGTTTAATAATTGCACAAAAAATAAATTTGTTATTATATTTGAAAAGTCAAGGATCAAAATCGATCAATGATAATTTACCGTTACGTAAAAGAGAAAAGAAAAAAAGATTATTTTAATTTAGATGTATAAATTAAAAATTATAAAATTAAATTAGGAATATTCAATTAATAAAACTATGTTAAAATATTAAAACATAGTTTATTTTATTATAATATTATTATATATTATTTTTATTTTAATAAATTACAATATACATTATATCATTAGAAAATACGAATAAATGTTACACACTCACGTTCGCGATTTGTTTCTTGTTCAATTCATTATAATTCATTATTTCTTGCTCTAGAAAGAAATACGATGGACCACAGAATGAAATTGCGGCACTACCTAAACATTCTTCTCCTTTATATAAAACTACAAACTGAAACAAACAAATATTATTAAATAATATTATATAAAAAAAAAAAAATTAAGAACATAAAGAAGTCATACCTGTCCTTCTGTAAGTGATCTTAAAGGTTGATTAATATGAATCATTAATTCATTCCTTAAATTTTTGTGAACTATGCAAGATACTAAAGCATCTCTATGTTGAAAGCGAAAATTGCAATGCATCATTCTATAGTGACTATTAAGTTCACTGGGTTCTGATGATATCCAATGAGGAGTTTCTGTTATTATAAAATCTGAATAAAGTGCTGGATGATTTGTACCTCTCACCTATTAATATATATTAATATATATGAACATATAATCTAGAAAAAAAGTAATTTATATATATATAAGATCTATTTTGTACATACTACAATAATATTATTTGATTCAGTATCTTTCTTATATATAAAGTATGCAATTGGGTAACCTCCAAGTTTCACATTTTGACCTACAGTCCAATAATGAAAGCCTTTATGCTTTCCCACTACTTCACCACTATCCAAATCTATAAAATCTCCAGGTTTGTCAGATATATACTATACATATTATTTTGTTATTAATATAAAATTAATTAATGTAAAATATTCTATATTTATTATATCTTACTTCAGATATAAAATTTTGGAAATTTCGTTTTCCTATAAAGCATATCCCTGTGCTTTCCTTTTTATGTACGATTTTATCCAAACCAATTTTTTCAGCAATTTTTTTAACATCTTTTTTTAAATAATTTCCAAGAGGAAACATGAAATATCTTAATGTTTCTTGAGGTACTTGACACAAAAAAAATGTTTGGTCTTTTTCTGGATCTTGTGCTTGAAGTAATTTGACATCTACCAAAATATTTAGAATAATTGTTTAGATGTTATTGGATATATTAAAATAACTATTTAAAATTAATAAGAAGAAAATTATACTTACTAGTATTTAATTTAAAATATTCAAGATAAGGACCAAAACTAGTCCTAACATAATGTCCTGTTGCAATAGCATCTGCTTGAAATTTCGTACGAGCAAAATTGAAAAATTGATCAAATTTAATATATTTATTACATAAAATATCAGGATTTGGTGTACATCCATTTTCATATTGTTCTGTTAAATAGCTAAAAGTTAAATAAGCAAAGTATTAATTTTTACAAATATAATCAACATTTAGAAGTATACATACCAAAAAATATTATTCCAATATTCTTTTACAAAATTGACTTCAACAAAAGGGATTTTTAATTTTTTGCATATCCATTCTGCATGTTCTTTATCCTCATCAGTTTGACATTTTCCTGTTTCATCTTTAATATCCCAATTTTTCATAAATACTCCCGTGACATCATATCCTTTAAAAATATTAATTTTATCAATAATTTTATTTTATATTTGTAAATTAATATATAATCTCAAATTTTTATTTTTTTAAAATACCTTTATTTTTTAAAAGAAAAGCTGCTACAGCACTATCAACTCCACCAGATATACCCACAATTATTTTTTTGAACATTTTAAATTCTATTTTATTATAACATAAATATATAAATATATAAATAATATATAAATATATAAATAATTCAAATATTTTAGTTTTTATTTCTCTCAATTTTATTTTACATCATGTTAATTTATCTCAATTATTAAGGAAGCTATTAAAATGATGCATAAAATATTATATAAAAAATTCTTTACAGAATAAAGTATTTTTCTTCTTTATATATATTTAAATATACGATTGATAATATCAAACATGAATTTACGTGTTAATTTCTTCAAATATAATATAATTATATTGATATTAAAAATTTTTTGAAACAATAATATATAAAAAAATGATTGAAAATAGGTTTTATTTTTACACAATATATAATAAAAAATTTTTATAAAAGAGAATTTTTAAACAAAGATCTTTTCTTAATCGATACGATATGCTAAAGGACATTAGAATGAGATGAAAAATATATATGAAGATTGTATAATAAAATTAAGATAATATATATTGTATTTCATTTTCACTCAATCATTTATATAATTTTAATTGCGTATATATTGATTATATGTGCACAAGTATATATTATTATTTTGAAAAGAACTTACAAATTTACAAATAATAAAGGTTAAAGAAGTACTGAATCTATCACGTGGTATACATATACGTGTTCAATAGTTTCCGATTACGTTTTACGTGCGCAACGAATGAGCGACTGTGCTCAGGTTCTGACGCGTTAAACGATATCGAATGGTTTAATAGAAAAATATTTTGCGGGATTGAATCTGAATAAAGGATAGAACGTGATTTTTCACGTGCATGTAGTGTATATTTGATGAAATATCGTTTGTACACTTCCTGTGATTAGCACGTTTCGAGGCTCGCGCGTAGGTCGATGTCCGAAAATCGTTGGCCAATCGACGCACGGCTCTCTCGTCGAGAACCAGTCAAGCACGTTGACAGATATGCAACGGCTGGTCGTAAGAGCTTGCATATTTCGAATGGCATTTTATAGTGTGGATAACAACGTATCGCGTGCTAGTTCAGTCTATTGGATTAGACGAAATTCTCGAAACGATACACCGGTTTTCGAAGAAATGCGCGATTTTGGTGCAAGTGCAACCCATTTTGCGCAGTTTCCATGACCCAGATTATGATGGGGAGTTCGCTCGCCTTTCGGAACAGCTGTTGGCCGCGCGAAGATGTCGGCCGCGGGGAAACGCTTGGATATTTCGTGGATTGCGCGCGCCTCTTGGCGGCTTCGCCGCTACAATTTTCAGGGCTGTATCTACTTACAACATATTAGGCACCTTACAATTCTTCAATTTCATCGGGACGCGATGCAACTTTTTCTGAAGATATCTCATTTAAACTTTCTTGTGTAATTTATCACAATAGCTGAATTTACATGATGAAAGTATATTAACCGGAAACCAAAGGAATGAAATTATTATGAAAACATCTTGTTAAAAATAGTGTACGCGATTTTGTACGTATCATGCTATTTGGTTGCTATGTTTTTTTTTTACGTAGTATGGCATTCGCATAAAATGCCTCGCGCTATTATCCTAATTTATAAAAAGTTATACATATCCCATCAATTGTGTTAAATTACCATTCTTACATAGCGTAATTAAAATTCCATATGCTTTAAACATCACAATAGTATTTGATCAAACAGAAGTTTCAAAGTGTGAAGTTTTATTGTTGTTAACTATTTTTTCTAATGTGACTTATGAGAAGTTCATATTGTGAAGAAGTGCTCGAATGAAACTTTGGCGGTATGTTGTTCGAGAGTATTCGTATACTCTTTTTTTCAATGTATTTATATCTATAGATATTAGCTGTTTTGTAACAAACATTTTATATCTGAAGTATTAACGTACTACGCATAATATATACAATCTAATATATATCACGACAATATTTTTTTGAAAATGTATCAATATATAACAGATATAAAAACACAAATTGAAATTTATATTTCAATTCTAAAATTTTGTGAAATTTAAATTGTCATTGAATGACTAGAAAGCGTAGTTGAACGATAACTGTAGAAAAATAAAATTTCAAGAAATTTACAATTGTAATTGTCATTAATTATGTTCAAAAATGATTTTTCGTAGCAATTACATTCCATGTGATTCCGGACATATTAAAGTAATTAAAGTGAGTGGAATATCTTTATCGTGGAAATAGTGAAAAAAGTACCGAAGAATAATCGATGCACAATTAATGAAAGTTCGAAGAGAAGTCTCGTGAGGTCTGCGGCACGTACGCTTTGCAGGAGGTACCCGAGTGGTTGGTAACAGAGACGCTTAGTAGATGAATACGGTCCTGCGCGATCCCCTCCACTTTCCTCATCCCGCTATACGACCAGTCAGTTCCTTGTTTGCCATACAAAATCCAATAGTTTGCCTTGTACCTCGAGAGAGTGCGAGTATGTCTTTTCCATTTGCCTTTTTTTTTAAAAAGTGCGGTAATTCATCAAAGTACTCGCGAAAATGTGCATTTTACTAAGTTTATTCACTCACACAACAAGATTTCGATGGTTTTGAGAAGGAGATCCCAGAAAGCATAGTGAATTCCTGTCTGAGACCAGACCGACCGGCCCGTTAAGGCTTCGTCGATTTTTTGGTCGTGAAAAAACAACGGAGCCGAAGCTTTTGTGCAGAAAGTCAGTTGGACGATTGAAAAAGACCGATACGACGAAAACCAGTGTATCTAAGTGCGCGTACAAATACTCGAGGTGACTCCTGTGTAAAAGGAGCACCGCAGGACGAATATTTTCACTGGAGTTCTCGAGAAAATGTGTTATGTATTTACGTGGAATATTGCGTAACGTCGAGGGCCGGGAAGTGTTTGGAAACGTGCAACACTGACAAACCTCGCTTCGACGACTTTGCAGCACGGGCAGCACGAGCTCTACGCGTCCGTGCAGCTGGCTTTACCGGCTCTATTTCGTCTCTTCTATCCCAGCGAAATTCCCCTCGCGATACCGCGATCGAAATTTTCCAAAGGAAGAAACTCCACCGACGCTCGTATCTTCTCGTGGAACAGCACAAACTTTCCTCGCGATCAACTTGATTTCAACCTCGACCACTTGCTTCTGGATAACTTCTCTCGAAATTCCCTGGTGCAAGGACGTTCAACTTCTTTTCAAATGGAAATTGGTATGTACATCTTTGATATTTTCATAAGATTTTTACTTTCTTCTAAGTCACTGACATTTCTATATTCATGCAAGGTCATTATAAACTACTATGTGAATGTAGATTGTCTTATAGAAGTATTAGGTTATAATTATTTTTATAACACACATTTAAGTTTTAGTATAATTTTCTTTGTGTTATACAATTTAAGTTTTAGTTTATAAATCATTTTGATTATAATATTGAAAATAATATTATACTTTTGTTCTTAATTACATGCAAGAAATTTATATTAATATGTTTTCCAATATATTATCAATGCATATTAAAATTTGTTTATTTACTTGTTTGTTATTACAATTCATTTCTTATTTTCATTCCAAAAAGATGGGAATTATGAAAAGATATTTTTTTATTATTGATAAACTGTAAATAATATTGGGAGAATTGCAGTTGCGCTTATAAAACTTCATGTATAAAAGTAAATGTAAAGAGAATATATCTTTTATAGTTTTTTGCTTATCTATAAAAAACCAATCAATGTGTTCATAAATTTAAACAATGTATAGAATATAATAATAATATAATAGCAATAGAAAATATTTTTGTGTAATATTAAATGATCTTATAGGGACATTTCTTTTATTGTGTATATAGTGAAATTTAAATTTTACATAAATAATATATCAAATATAATCTTTACTTTTTATTAAATATATTATTAACGTATTCTATCTTTCGCTCATTATACTCATTATTGTATTCATTAAATTTTTACGTATCTAATAGATAATTAATTGAAAAGCATGAAATAAAAAGGAATATATATGATAGTATATGCAATAATAACAAATGATTACAAAACCAATAAATGAAATAATTTATAAATATAATTATTATTAATAATGAATGTTAGTATTTATTGAAAGAAAAATTTCTTTTGTTCCAAATTAGAGATTTAATTCTAAATGATTTATATAGCACTTTTTGTGTGAGGTTATATTACCTAAATATGTCTTTTAGATTTGATTTTTTAGAAGATAGAATCATATTTTCACATGATTTATTTTCTAATATTATCACAAATAATATCATGAAAATGTAACCACGTGCATTTTAATTATTTAATATTATGCAATATATATAACAGTTGCGAGTATGAGTAATTCAATTATTTTTAACTTTAAATTGACTAAGAAATTGAAGTCACAATCGTTTCGAATTACTCAAAATTGAATTATAAAATTAAATAATATATTATAAATAATATACTATTTATTAATATATACTAATCATTGTATATATTAACGTACAAAAATATTTTTAAACATGGTCACATAGCGTGTTTAAATTTAACATAAATACTAAAAATTTTCTTAAGTTATTATTGTAAAATGTTTTCTTTATTGAAATAATAATAAAATCTTTATTGAATTTTATATTTTATTCTATTCTACAATGAAAAAGTTTTGTGTTGTTCGAAGTTATAGGAAAATACTCCCGCTGTTTTAGATTCTTCGGAAGTTCTGTCATACGGTGCCCGAGCGCGCGGTGCTTTCAAAATTACGAATACTACGATGTAAATTCAAATCGATTTAGGAAAGAAATATCGAAATTTAATGAATGTTTTTTTCTACTGTATCAATGTATTCACGCACGATATTAGCTAGCGTAGTACGGATGCATCGTCGATCACGTCATTTATCACCTTAAACGAAACAATACCACCACCGAATACTTTCAAAGTCTACTACACCTTTTCCGTCCGTTCGTGGCGCGCTAAGCATACAATACGCGCGAAAGAGTTGCGTCGCGTTTTATGACAGTTTTAATGGGAATACGATAATTATTTCTATTAAATCCGACATTAAATAACATACGATTAGTTTTCTGGTGAATTACAACGTCACTAAACAATAATCGTTCTTCGATCCGTAGTATTTCCAATGTGATCTGCGATGAAACGTGTTCGCGGGCTGGACGAGGTAGCATCACCAGCAGCAGCAACATTAAAGCACTCATCAGTGAGTGCAGGAAGTGGCTTAGGTGGCGGAGGAGGTGGTTTGGAGTACCATTCAAGCAGTGGAATAGGCGTTGTTGTACCTGGCCAAGCAGTTCGATCAGTTGCTTCGAAAGAAATGCCGGGAAGCATACAATTTGGAACTGCCCAAACTCAACAGCAATATACTGGAGCAATTGTAGTGCCGACTGCGGCTCCGTCCCCTATTAAGGTATGTATTATCTACATTATAATAATAATATTAGTAAATAACTATGTGGTTTTTTAAAATTTTTTAAAATTTTTACTATTTTTTTTAGTTATCTCATTGTTTTAAATTTTTTTTTCATATTTTAATTTTTTTTCTTGTATAAAGTTCATCATTCATAATCGTTCTTCATGTATTAAAAATATGTATAATAAAATGATGTAAAATGAGATTAATCTGCTTAAGAGTAGTTTAAATTAAATTAAATATTAATTTATTATGTTTTTTTAAATTACTACATTAATAAATTTATATGATATTATGAAATATTTTTTTTGCATGAATATATTATATTATTGTTTTTATTTTTATATTTGATAAAGTTATAAAATAAAAAAATTAATTAATTTTAATAATTTTAATAAAATAAAATAATCTTTATGCTTCGTATTATTAATGAAAGAATAATCAATTATATTTGTGTATACAATCTTTTTTTTAATACCAAAAAAATTTTTTTATATTTTAAGTTCATATATACAATCAAGTTTTTAAGAATTAGATGCAAATTGTGTAATTATTATCAATTATTTTTGCAGGGAAGTGGATCTGGAGGACTTACTTCTACATGTAGTAGTAGCAATGTAAACACTAGTGGAGGGTTACATGGTGGAATAGGTGGTGGGAGTAATCATAGTATGGGTTCCCAACAGCCTGCACCAGGAACTCAAAATCAAGTTCATAGCCAACAGCAACCAACAATAAGGCATAAGGTTCATATTATATAATAAATCATAATAAATTAGAAATATCGAGACTTATAAATTATATCTTCATAAATATATAATATATATTATATATTTTATTATTATATATATTATATATATATTATTATGAATTATTTATAATATAATTATAATTATAATATATAATAATTATATTTTTATAATTATATAAAGATAGAATAAAACATTAAAAATAATTTTGATTATTAATAAAATAGATTTTTTTAACTAACAATTTAGTTTACAAATTTCATTGTAATGTTATTCATTTCATATAGGTTCATTCTAGCAATGTAGCACCATTAGCTTCTACTCCACCAGGCAGTAGCCTAGGTAGTGGCAGTGGATCCCAACAGTTCCAGAGATTAAAAGTAGAAGATGCATTGTCTTATTTAGATCAAGTAAAGTACAAATTTAGTGATCAGCCTCAGGTAAATAAAATATGATGATTATTGATTTTGAAAAAAATTTATGATAATTATAGTTTCAATTATGTTTAATTTCAGGTGTATAATGATTTTTTGGATATTATGAAAGAATTTAAGTCACAAAGCATAGATACACCAGGAGTAATAACAAGAGTGAGCCATTTATTTAAAGGACATCCTGAACTTATTGTTGGTTTTAATACCTTTCTTCCACCTGGATATAAAATAGAGGTACAGGCAAATGAACAAGGATATGCATTTCAAGTATCAGTTAGTATGCCAAGTCCAACAGCAACACATACTGCTACCTTGTCACAACATCATTGCACTGTAAATGTTGGTTCGCCTCCTGTTGCAAGTCCACCAACACAACCAGCAAAAGCTCCACCAGTTTTACAAATAATGCAAGGGTAAGATGCTATTAATATTATATATATTTTCGTCATTATTTTTATAGAATAAGTTAATAAATAATATTTTACATGTTATTTAAAATCAGATCCGGAAATATACATCATTCATTGGCAAATAATATTTCGAATAACAGTTTAACTGTACATGCACCTTCACCACCACCAGTACAGGCATACAATAATTCACATGTTAGTGCAGCTCAAGCACAGGCTGTGAGTCAAGCATTAAGTCAAGCGCAAGATGGTATTCCGACCAGTGGGCAAACTCAACAGAGCCAACCAGTTGAATTTAATCATGCAATTAATTATGTTAACAAAATTAAGGTTTGTATTCTGTTAAAGAATATAAAATACAATATTGAAGATATCTAATTTTGTTTAATTTTAGAATCGGTTCCAAGGTCAACCAGACAAATATAAAAGATTTTTAGAAATTCTACACACTTATCAGAAAGAACAACGAAATTTAAAAGAATCTGGACATATGGGTGGCACAAGTGGATCTGGTGCATCTGGCGGAGCAAAACATTTAACAGAAGCAGAAGTTTACAGTCAAGTTGCTAAATTATTCGAAAACCAAGAAGATTTACTCGCTGAATTTGGACAATTTTTACCAGATGCCACTAATCAACAAAGTGCATTGGTAAATTGACATATTGTTAAAATGAATACGAAAAAAGATTAAAAATAATTACTATTTTTTTTTATAACATCATTTTTATAATATTTCAGAGTAACAAGACTGCTACAGTTAACGATCATACAACAATCGTTAAAAAACCATTGGGACCTAAAGCACCTTATAATAATTCAGGAAATATTTCGAGAGATCTTCGAGAATCAAGCGGTATTAATACAATAGAACGAGAAACTCGTGATCATAGAGATCGTGAACGGGAAAGAGATAGATCTGGTATACGAGATATTAATAGTGTACAAAAACTTGGCCACAATACGGGACAATTAAAAAGAAGTCCGTCGTTTTCACCTTCGGTAACAGCTGGAAACTCTCATCATATACAACATGGTCCACCTCCTTTAAAAAAGCATAAAGTATCATCCATGCGTGAATGTGTTACCATAGCGGAAGCTGGAAAATATGGTAGTTTGAACGATTATGCTTTCTTCGATAAGGTATTTTTGATTTTTAATTTTTATAATTATAACGAAAGGAAAATAAAATAAATACATCATAAAGAAAATATTTCTTATTATATTTTTAGGTTCGTAAAGCATTAAGATCTCAAGAAGTATATGAAAATTTCCTCAGATGTTTGGTTTTGTTTAATCAAGAAATAGTTTCCAAATCTGAACTGGTGCAATTAGTAACGCCATTTCTTGGTCGCTTTCCTGAACTTTTGCGTTGGTTTAAAGATTTCCTGGGCCATTTGCCTGAATCTTCTAACACCAATACAACAAATGCGAGTAGCAATTTAAATGTCGAAGCGCTACCAAATAATGTTGTACGAAGTCATCAGGAGAGACCGCAAGGTGATTTGGCGATGGAAATTGACTATACGGCATGCAAGCGCTTAGGAGCATCATATTGCGCATTACCAAAGTCTTACGTTCAACCAAAGTGTACAGGAAGAACGCAGTTGTGTAAAGAAGTTCTTAACGATACATGGGTTTCATTTCCAACTTGGTCAGAAGATAGTACATTTGTAACATCCAGGTATGTATTTTGTTTAAATTATTTTTATATAATATTTATTATATAAAATATCGAACAATAGAAAATTTTTTGTTGGTTTGGAATGTTTAGGAAAACTCAATATGAGGAATTCATTTATCGTTGCGAGGATGAACGATTCGAGTTAGATGGTGTAATAGAAACTAATGCATCAACGATTAGAGTTCTAGAGGGTGTTCATAAAAAAATGAGTAGAATGAGCCAAGAAGAACTTCAAAAATTTAAGTTAGACGATTGTCTCGGTGGTTGTTCTCCTACAATTCATCAAAGAGCCTTGAAGAGGATATATGGTGATAAGGCTGCTGATATTATAGATGGTCTTAAGAAAAATCCTGTCGTAGCAGTACCAGTGGTTCTTCGTCGATTAAAGAGTAAAGAAGAAGAATGGCGGGAAGCGCAAAAGGGTTTCAATAAAATTTGGAGAGAACAGAATGAAAAGTACTACTTGAAATCTCTAGATCATCAAGGTATCAATTTCAAGCAAAATGATGTGAAAGCTTTAAGATCTAAAAGTCTATTTAATGAAATTGAAACATTATATGATGAGGTTCGTAATTCTGTTTTTTCTTTAATATTTATATATTTCTTGTTATTTAATTTATTTTTTTAATAATTTATTTTGTAGAGACATGAACAAGTAGATGATGGCAGCGGAGATGGTCAAAATAATAGTGGTCCACATCTTGTATTACCTTATAAAGATAAATCTGTCCTAGATGACGCAGCTAATCTTCTTATTCATCATGTAAAACGTCAAACAGCCATCCACAAAGAAGACAAGCAACGAATAAAGCTTTTATTAAAGCATTTTATACCTGATCTTTTTTTCCATCCACGTCAGGAATTGAGCGATGATGAACGAGATGAAGATGGTAATATCATAATTTGATAAATATATTATTATATAGCTGAATATTTTTATATAAAACAATTTTAAAACAATTTATTTTACACATTCGCAATTATAGATGAGAAGGAAGATCTCAATGTAGCAGCATGTAGTAATTCTCAATCGGCAACGATGAATATTTCTCCATTGAGTGGTGGTCTCCAAGCAAATAGAAATAAGGCCCCTGTATCTCCGATTCCGTCTTCCACATCGATTAAAACTGAACCTGATATTAAAGTACCAATTCATGCCATGTCGAATGATCCTGAAGAAGCGTACACGCTTTTCATGGGCAGCAACAATTGGTACCTTTTTTTAAGGTTACATCACATTTTATGCGAAAGATTAACAAAAATGTACGATCGAGCTGTGGCTCTTGCTGAAGAGGAATCGCGATATAAACAACAACGCAAGGAGAGTACAGCGGTCGCATTACGATTAAAACCCAAAAGTGAGTATAAATCGTAATTTTATTTGCATAGAAGATATTTTTTAAATTATATTTTATAATTTAATATTTTTAATGTATTTAGATGAAATTGAAATTGAGGACTATTATCCTGCATTTTTGGATATGGTTAAGAATGTCTTAGACGGTAATATGGAAAGTACTGCGTATGAGGATACTTTGCGAGAAATGTTTGGTATTCATGCATATATCGCTTTTACGTTAGATAAGGTTGTGACGTATGCCGTAAGACAAGTAAGCATATATATATATATATATATCAGTATTTTAAAATATTTCCATTATAATTTTATACTCGAAATGAACTTTAGAATAAAAATATAAAATTCTCAGTTGCAGCATTTGGTCTCAGATCCTATATGCCAGCAATGCATGGAATTATTCCAGCGAGAACAACGTCAACCAAAAGAAAGTAGTGGTGCAGGTGGTTTATGTGCTACAGCATACATGAGACTTGGTGCAGAAATGTCGTATCAACGTAAAGCTGAAAAAGCTATGGCGGACGAGAATTGTTTTAAGATATACATTGTAAGTATTTAATGATAATTTAATTTTTTACACATAATATATTATTTTCTTATAATTTATTGTTAAAAAATAAAAATTTTTTTTGTTATTTTTCAATTTATATATAATAATAATATATTTTCATTCTTAAGTATTTTATTTTTTAATTTCAGCTGGCAATATTATTAATATTTATATAATTTATAGATGTAAAAAAATAAATATTAAAAAATGTTATTTTTTAATCATTTAAAAAAAGGATATTTTATATGTAAAATTTTTTATTGTTACAGTATAAAAAAGACTGTAAAATGACAATGGAATTGTTGGATACGGAAGGTGATGAGGCGATGGACAACAATTGTAGGGAAAGAGAAAGGGAAGGAGTTACTGTATCTGAAAAATGGTCTACATATGTTGAGAGGTTTTCTGCTCCAGCTGGTCAGACTAGCCCGAAAGACACCCCTACCTTAACAGACAATGAGCCAACAACCAATCATCCTGTGAGTAACGACCAGGCAGCAAGGGGGGGGAGGGGCAGAAAGCGCAAGAACACTGACACTAGCAAGAAGGTATAGGATCCACATCCCTTTTCATAATCATTGCCAACGTTGAAGTTTACATTCATTCGTATTTGATGTCTGTGATTGGAAGTTGTACCGTTGCCATTCAGTGTACAACTAGTGTCCCAAAGAACGAAAATTTACTTTCTTCTAATTATTTCGTGTGATCGTATTATGAAAATATGCCAGAGATATTCGTGTGTGAAACGTTTGATCTCGTAATCAGGCGCCTTTCCAAAAGAAATTCGGTCTTCAAGAAAATCTTTGTTGACTTCCTTAAAGAAAAATACCAAAAAAGAAGTAGAAAATATTTTAGGAACGAATATTGCTGCATATAATATCGGTTGTTTGCTAATACGAGGAAGCTATGTAGCCATATACGATCTGCTATCACCAATGCTTTATCATGCGAATGGGGTCAGAGCACTGGTTCATGCTTGTCATTATATAGAAGTTGCAGAACTTTGTATACATAACCAGAATGAACTAATATTCTTTTAAATGCTAGAAAAAAAAAAAAAAAAAAAAAAAAAAAAAAAAAAAAAAAAAAAAAAAAAAAAAAAAAAAAAAAAAAAGAAGAAGAAGAAGAAGAAAGAAAAAGAATGGAAAGTCATATATTTATTTTCATAATGTTTAAAGAGATAAGAGAGATATGATTTTCATCTCAGTGCGTCCATTGTGGTGCTGTAAATTAAGTAAAGAAAAAAGAAAGAAAAAATAGAAAAAAGAATATAGTGCACAACGCGAATCCCCATTCTTTATTCTATATATTCGTACTATTGGTGTGTTGCAACACCATTAAATATTACATAACTATAAATTATATTTCTATATTTTAAATATCGATTCATAATAAAACAACGATATCTCAATAGCAATTTTTTTAAATTTTCAAATGCAAATATTTATCAAAGGCATTCAGAAGAATACTGTTCAAAAGAATACGATTCACTGCTTTGCTTCCTCGTTTTTTATGCCGTGAATAATTCTTGTCTGTCCATGCAATCATTTACGCGACGATTTATTCTTTCATCCGGTGATATCTTTTTTATTCGCGATTTTTATTTAGGATTGAAAGAGATAGTTCGTATTAAAAGTAGTTTAATAAGAGGGAAGGAAATGCGCGATGTTAAGAATCCCGTATAAAATTCCAAGTTATTGTTATTTTTTTTAAATTATATTTTATATTTTGCAATCGATTATCTAATAACTTCTTTTTGTTTTGTTTTTTTTTGTTTTTATTTGAAATAAAAATATGTTAAAAGTGATGATTGTATACATTTACAAAAGCTTTAAAAGCTTATAAAAGATAAGAGTATTTTTAAATTTATTATTTTATTTTTATATTGAAAACATAGTTTTCCTGTAAATCTGTCATTTGTCACTTGACACAAAAAAGAATCGGTTCAACGAAACAAACAAGGAAAATTTTCGTACATATAATTACAACATGCTGTTTCATCGTGTTGCCTCCATTGCCTACTTCGCGTTTCTTAGAGGAGAGAAAAGAAAGTTAACTAATTAGAACAAAACTATAGTTACGAAATGAAGGATATTAATCAGCATCTAATCGCATTTTACAAATGTACAAAAAAAAGTATCAAGGGGACACGGCATACATAAAATAAAATCCGAGCAGTGCCATAAATGAATGTAAAATGTTAGCATAAAAGAGAAAAAGAACATAACATTTGATATTGGTCAATTCTTAATATTTAGTTCATTTTCATCGTACTATTATTATAAATTAGATAAGATAATAATTTCTAGAATTTATTAACGCATAGAATTAAAAAAAAAATGTAAATATTTGATATAAATTTGTATATATGTTTTGATACGCAACATAGGTTGACTGGTAGTGTGCATCTACTGAATCTAAATCTGAAATTTCATCATTTCGCTATCATACATTCGAACATTAGTGAAGCCTTTGGGAAGGAATTATGGATATTGACTCGTGAACACATTACTTCCACGCCACATCACGCCGTGCAGGGTAATCGTGGCTTTTTCTATCTTCTGATCGTTCCAACTTTAAATTTGTCACTATGAAACTTCTAGTATGCCGGAGTAACTATTGAGTCCAGAAAAGAAAATAGAAAAGAAAAAAGAAAACCAGTGCTGGAAAAAAAGGTGCAGAATACGATAAAGTACCATTTTGAAGATTTTTCAAACACTTCCAAAGGTTGTGTGTTATGGTTCCTTACGGAAATTAACGAAAGAAACTTGGGAAATTTCTCGTCCGTACTATTAAATTAGGGTATGTTAACGATACATTGAAATTGTATATTTTTTAGACATTAGGCTAGGATACCAGCCTTATTTAAAAGATTTTTAATTACGACGAACACTTGTCGATTCGACGTGTTATATATTACATTCTTCGAATCAAATTTGTTCGACTTAGAAGTAGTGTGATATGTAAAATTATAGTATGCATTGGTTCTAGCTTGAAGTTAAATGAAAACTGGAAGTAGCGTTATCAATGGCGTGGACCAAGTGTGTTCCTGGCTTAACTGTTGCGCCACTGTGAAATACACGTGTATGATAATTCTTTGCTGTGTATATATATTAATATATAAGTAGTAAAGCAAAGATTATATGGTGTAGCATGTAAATAGAAAATCACTTGTATCTTTTAATTAATTCATAGCTCTAATTGAAACGTAACAGTACGAAGTGTTGATATCCCTTCAATTGACTTGGAATAATCTGCCAAAGGTTTCACAGTTTTAGCTCTCTCGATTGTTGTTGTTGGTTTTTGCATTGAGATAAGGTCCATTAATTTTTTTTTTCATTTTTTTCTTTTTTTTCTTGTTTCTTTTTTTTTTTTTTTTTGTTTGATACTTCAATTTTAAATTTTTTGTAATTTCACTCGTAACTACATTCTTCTCTTGCAAATGACACAATTCTGTCAAAGGTGTTAATAATTTTTTACGGTGCAAATTATATAAATTGTTGCTTATTAAACTTTAACTCAAGAGTATCGGTTTTAATGTCGTATCCTCCGCAGGTTTGACGAACGAGTTAACCAACTTTATAATTGAAAATGTGCTTTTTAATTTGTGTCGTTTAGGACTTCTTTTTTTAAATTAAACAACATTAAGAAATACTGTTGACGATTGCTAGTTTTATTGTTTGACGTCGAGATAAAGAAAAATCTACGTTTTGTATATTTTATGGATAACAGGTACTACTTCTTAGTTTTCTTTGCCATAGTATATTCTGTACAGTTATAGAAACACGTTTATGACGCAAGTGGATTTTCAGATGCAGTGTTCGCAACGTTGTTTCCTCATTGAATAATATCTTCGTATTTTGTACAAAATGTAAAACAAAATGCATTTCCTGACAAGGCTCTGCATCATGGAATTTTAAGCGCTATTATATATATAGAGAGAGAGAAAAACTACACGTATTATGTACGTGTATATATATATATATATATTTTTCGTTTATTTAACGGTTCAATACGTTTTTATTAGATAACGTGGCACAAATTTAAATTAATTTAAACTATATACATATATATATATATATACATATATATGTATATACCTAAATATATATATTTATATATATGTAATTATTGCCACAAATAATCTGATTTAAACGTTACTGTGACATTTGTAATATAGTTTCATTGAGACTATGAGATCGTACGTGCAGACAGATTTTATGTGATTGTTATAAGCTCATATCTCCGTTTTCACTTTATGCAGTGAATTTTAAACTCTATATATATATAAGACATATATATATATTTTGTAACTGTAATCTGTATATGAAATGAATATACATATAATAATAGATAAACAATAATATTGTATAGAAGAGAGATATTGAAATACATGAACAATGCTTTTAAACATTATTGTCTAACATCATTTTGTACCACTAAATTTATTACTTTGATTCTCCGATAATATTAATTTTTTGTAACAAGAAAGAAAAGAAAAGAAGAAGAATTCTTTGCCTCTGCTTTTACGAATGAAACAAGACAAAAAACAATGTAAACCAAATATTTTTTAACACTATATTTAAATACTTCGTAATCATACAAACATTTAATTCAGATGTTGAAATTTTTATGTTTTTATCCTCATCTAATTTTTATTTTAGATATTTTCTCTCGCTTAGCTTCGATTTATTCTGCTTTATCATTTCAATATTATGTCATGTGTGTTTTGAATATTAAACGTTGATAAATATATGTATATTAAGAGTAATATATCTCTTTTCTAACACATTTGTATTTAAAAATAGTAAAACTGTCATAAATTGAAATTGTTAAACAGTTTCATCCAAATCATGTTAATACGTCGTCTTTTTTTGTTGTGCTTTCGATTTAAATAGTTCACTCGTCGTCTATGAATGTACTTACATAGATCGAAAATTGAACTAAAAATATTGTTTTAAACTCATTTTTCATTTCATCTTATGTTCACTTACTTTGTCCATGCAAAATTATTAAAAAAAATTTGTTTTATTATTTTCAGATATTATTGGTACTAAATAGTAATATATATCGTATAATTATTCAATTTATGAAAATTTATAATTAATATATTATTGTTTAAATTAAGAAATTGTTATTTACTTACTAATTATTTATGAAGTGCCGATAATATGTTAAAAAATAGTAAAACAACAGATTGCAACATATCATTTTTTTAATGTGTTTGAATTTCATTTATTATTTTCGTATATAAAACATCTCCTTATAAAATATTAATTTTTTTTTATTATATTCTTTAAAAAATATCCTTTTACCTATCCATGTTTTTTCAAATCAATAATTTTTATTTCTAGAATACAATTATTTACAGATATGTAAGCGATTAAATGTGTCAGTGTATAATGACAATCACATAATGACAAATAATTTGTTCGAAAATGAAAAGAAGAAAGATAGGATAAAAAAAAAATAAGTTCCTTTTAAATAAGTGAAAAACTTTTATGAAAATTCTGTTTTTATGTAGAAAAGTTGAATATTATTTTTGAATATACTTTTTATTTATTTTTGTATTTGATCGTAGTTTGTTTTATAATTTTTTTTTTTTTTTACTTAAATTCTTTTATTATTATTATTTTAAAAAAGCGTAAAATATATAAAAGGAATGTTTGTAACTTGGTACAATGTGTAAAATATTGTAATAAATTATTTTGTAATTGTACTGTAATAAGAGCTCTGAAGTATATTGAACTTAGTAGTAATTACCCACGATAGTGTAATGAACATTATCATAAGAAATCTATATTCACATATCATGGTGTAACTTGTTAAAAAAGTTAACATAAATCGATTGTTGTAGATGGATGGGAATGGTTGGAGTTTAGGCAGAATCTTGGCAGGACGTAAGCCTGTATTTCTTTACCGTAATGTTAGGCAATGGAGGAAAAGAACTGCGAGAATGATGTCGGCATCTATGCCTAATACTATGCCTCATCCCGAGAAAAGTGCAGAGTAAGTATTTTTTCAATTTCTATAGTAATTTTTCTAATTCAATCTATATAATAATTTTTTTATAAGATAAATTTTAATTTTTTTTTTTTTTTTTTTTTTTTAGGACAACAGATAAAGAAAAATCATTGGATTCTGTAGATGCACTTCTAAAACGGCCTCCTAGTTTAAGATTAGCAGATTCTGGGGATACATCTGATATCATCAATTCTGATGAAACACAATGCAGATTTAATCCTAATAGTTACCAAATGCTCTATATTGCTAGTAAGGAAGCATTCCTATATAAACAAAATTCATTCAGTCGTGCCAGAGAGGTATGTTTAATAATTAAAGTTTAAATATATATTTTATTTGTTAACGATCTTCTATATTTGCGATATTACTTATTTGCTTTTTCAACATCAACAGTGTCATCCAGCTGTGACAAAACATTTGAATTCAAAATTCCATCAATGGTTGGCATCTTGGGCATCTAAAAATGTTGCGGACGTTCAGCATCGATTATGTCAAGATTGGTTGATGGGACGTTACGAAAACTTAATTCCTCATAAGACACGAGTGATCACAGACAATGACCAAACGAGATCGCCTTATAGACAATACAATCGTTATAGAGTGGAACGTTTGCAACCTGATCTTCTGACAGAATCCTGTGTATAATCATATGTCTTTTATCATTTCTTTACCACGAGAGATCTCTCTTATCATTTCTTTATTGAGAACTCGTTTCGGTAATCTCACATTCATATTTTCTGTTTAAAACAAATTAATAGTTAAGAGAAAATTATCAAGGCAAAATTAAAGATGATTCTTGAATTATTTGATTATTCTTGAATTATATTGCGTGCACGTACAACGAGACGCATGTTTTATTTTGCCAACGAAGTTCATCGGGAACGAAGAAGGTGCAGAAATGGTCATTAGAAAAGAAAGTATCGAAGACTATAACGAATCGTCTTTACATTGTGTGTACTACACTTATTCATTCAATTTTTACTAAATTTGATTCTTTAACTGTACAGGTTATAAATAATCTGATGCAAATGGAAATATCGCTGATTTGTTGTTGTTTGTCTAAAAGTTTAATGTAAAGAGTCTCTTCAATTTAAAATATTAAATAAACTATCGAATCGAATATTAGAAGAAAGAGAAACAGTTGTAACGAGCGATATTTCCAGTTGTATTGAAGATCAAGCTTGTGATCAGGTAATATAAGATATCTAAACGTAATGTTTCATTTCCGAAGATCGAATACTTTCCGATATAATTAGATATAGATTTTCCAGGTAAGGTTTTACATAAGAGAGTAAAGTTACGGTAAAACTTTTGATACTTTATGTAATATCTTAAAAGATTTAGAAAGAATATTCTATCGTCATGTAATTGTCGTTTATAAGCGTATTGCAGATTCAGTCAATTTTATTTTATTAAGTATTTTATTTTTATAGAGAGAGAGACTTACACGATTGTAATTGAAACATTAAATATTGTTAGTAATTAAAAATCTATTAAAATTTCGATTTACATATGTTCTATTATTTAAACACTTTCTATTTATATATAACTAAAACGTAATAGAATATTGGATTATAATAAATTGGCCAAAATTGTATACTTTTTTTTTTAATAATATAAATTGTATATACATGTATGTAAAATATCTTTCATTCGAAGTTTTTAATAACTTACTTCTCTTATTTTCTTACGAATATGGTAATTAGAATTTTCGTTCTCTTAAATTCGGTATACATATAATTACATGTATAAATAAATACATGCTTGTATATATATATATGTATGTGTATATATGTGGATATATAATAATTGAAGACATATATACGTATATACACATATAAAATGAAAAAAAACTAGGCCTTATTTTTTACCTGATCTTTAGGCTATTCGATAAAAACTGTAAAATATTTAAATGTGGCGGTGTTCCTGTACAGTGCAAAGCTGTTGACAACGTTAGAATGCGGTGTTCATTGGGAAAGACATTATCTCATCACGCACGAGATATATGGTTGATATTATTTTATGTTATTATTAAGTATATATCTTTTTATTAGTTCTTTTACTTTGTAAGTCTATGCATGAGATACAAACTATGAACTGATTAAACATTTATAAATTATTTTTTATACTGTTAATATCGATTACAGTGTTTAAGATTTGCATTAGATTTGAAACATTCACAAAAAAGAAAAAATAAAATAATTAGATGAAGGAATTCGTGCGTGGTGAAAAAAAATAGCATATAATTTCTATATAAAATTTAAATCTTTATAATAATACAAAAAAATGAATGGCTTTCATTATATGGATTTTCTGTGATTTTCAAGACATTCAAGTAAAAAATAACATTTAAAAAATACTGATGGATAATAATGTATACATAAATTTTTAATTGAATACATTTTTATCCTTATTTAATTTAATTGAAGTCTTGACGTCTCTATTTTTCTGATTAATTTTCAAAAGATGCCATTTTACATTCATTTAGACATATAAATACAGATACACCGTGCTATTCAGTTATGCAATAATACTGCCCCCCATCCCCTCATCCCTTGTACATTAAACTGTATATCTTATTAAAGATGAACAAAGAAAAGAGAGACGCGGTCTTCCGATGCTCGACTACTTGTGACTATTGATGATGAATGATGATAGTGTATTTTATCGAGAAATTGCTAATTTTAAAAGTGTATGTCCATGTATCAAAAGTGAATGTACAGGCAATTTTATTACTCGAGATAATAATTTAATGTTGATATATTTTGCACAAATCATTATTAATATTAATAAATCATTAATATTATAGCTGTTTTATTTGATTTATTAAATTATTTTCAGGACAATTCGCAATTAATTCATCTATATTTATTAATAATTAAAAATTGAGGTAAGTGATAGAAATGATGAAAGAAGGATATAAAATACAATATAATATTTCCAGCAACATTACTTATTTTTATTAAAAATGATAACATTGATAATCATTGTACAACTATAGATAATTTAATCTTCCTGTGTATTAAATATTAAGTGAAATACTGCATATGAATACATTGCCTGTACTATTTTCTACACGCTTTCTTGAAATAGTAAAAATATTCTAAACTATTAATTCATTTAAGTAATGTTTAAGTGGTTTTTCTAATAATAAAAATTTTCTAAATAATTAAACACACACATTACATTTAACATATTATTAAATTCATAAATTTTGAAATATTTTTGATATTATAAACGTGTAGAAAAATGGTTCTATATAATTATTTTTCTGTTTTATCTTTTCATGTATATCTATTGCAATGTAATTGGAAAAGAACAAACAAAGAATAAGATGATTTATCATTCTTATCTTTCATTAACTCTTGTTTTGTGTTAATATAGTTGCAAAGCAACTGCAAGACGGTGTAATATCAATGAAATGTGAAAAATGTTGAAAAATAATTGTTGGGGCAAGAACCTCTTTGGTCTTTGAATAAAAATTCGAACATGGCATTTATAATGAATGAATGATAATTATAATTGATGAAAGAAATATAATTAGAT